TGAGAAGAGAGTACCAATTTGGGAGATGAGGGAACGTGGGATTGGGTGGGATGGGGAGAGCATTGAGGATGGAGCTTAGTCATAAAGAAGCACTTGATAGCTTCAGCCATTTTTGCTCTGAATCAGGTGAAGAATAATAGGGGTTAGGCACTTTTGTTGGTATTTTCTCTGCTTTGTTGTATGGATAAGGAAACCATTTGCATCCACCCTTTGTTTAGAAGATACAAAGTGCAAGATTACAAGATGATTTAAGATGCAGAAAAGAAACGCATTTCTTATTACAAAATGGGAAAGTGCAAACCAAAAATAAAAAATAAAAAAGAAGGAAACATAGTTGAACCCTAGTAGCTAGCCCTCAAAATCAAACATAAACTCCAACACCAAATCCATTTGAAGTTGATAAGCAGATATAGAAATAAAAGAAATGAAGTTTAGACTAACTCAAATATATAAGAGACACCTAAAATGGCTAGAAGAAATGAAGTTTAGACTAACAAATAAGGACACATAAACATGGAAAAAATATGTGGTTACAATCTACCCCACCTTAGAAATTGAAAAATTCTAGTAATGATCCCATAATGTCATTTAAGTACTCCAACTCTATGCCCAAACATATCCAAGCCAAAAGTAGTGGAAGTGTTATAATCTCAACATCTAGCGTTAAGGGACAAATGGAGGAAACACAAAGCTAAGATTCTTTATATCACAAAAAAATAGTGCTAACGTGCAGATCCCCCTTCCTCCAAAGAGAGAGGGGCACCCAAGTTAGAACAGAAAAAAAAAAAAAAAAGATTAAGTAAGCTTTAATTTATGTGCCCAGTTGCTTACAAAAATTAATATGGTTACCAAAAAAATTGACAATGGTAGCCTTTTAATAATTTGTTTCATTGGTTTAACAAACTTTTTTTTGGGGTAAAATACTACAAGCCCATTTATATGGGGTAAGATTAAGAAGAACATACACAATTTTGAAAATTGCAGTTGTTGGAGCTTTTCTTTCATAATTTAGTAATGATGTTAGTGTCAGTAGGTTATGATCAGTATTCAGTAATAAACATATCTAATTAGTTACTTGAGAAATGAGAAACCTTTCAGCAGTTATTTGTTATTGATTTATTGCAATGACATAACATATAAATAACAGACAAACACTGATTTGGACAACTTCTTCTTTAAGAAAAATGGGATTGCTAATTTGAAACTCACCCTGATTCAACAATTGATGGGTATGTGGGAGCACAAGCATAAAAGGACTAAGCTTGTGACTCTCTGTTAGCAACTCCAAGAGATACCTGTCAATGAAGAAAAAAAAAAGAGTAAGAAAATCGAATATAAGTTTGACCTACTCACAAACATCTTCAAAACAGAAAATTACCCAAACTAGCTGAATTTACTGACATCTCAGCTATAGAAATTAAATTTTATAATATGACACACATGTGTGTACATTAGCGTCAATGCAATCCATCCAATTCCATTCTATTTAAACTAGCAGAATTTAATGAGAATCTTAAAATTTTACTTAAAAGCCAAAAGGCATCCACAGCCAAGATTCAAA